TTCCTCTCAGAGCTTTCCACAGAGAGGCTAACCCGCTTCCCGCCCTTCCGCCGAGTCGGCTCCTTGCTGGGCAGCCCCGGCCGTTGTTAGCATGCCCGCAGCGGTCAGGCCGGGAGGAGCGGCAGCGCTGGCTCCCGGTGGCGAATCTGCGGCGGAGAACACCCAGGCGGGGGGCGGCCGCGGGAGGCCGTTGGCGCCTCGCGCCCGCGGCCATTTGGCGCCTTTTTCCCCTCAGAGGGAGCGCGCGACCTGAGGCGCTCTGGTGCCGGGGCTGCTCGGGAGGCGTCTGGAAAAACGCTGCAGTGTAGTGTCTGGGCCCGAATAAATCCCATAAAGGCAGGCTATCGCCTGACTTCAAAGTCAGGTGAACAGTCCTGGCAGTGCTGGGGAACCATTTGTCTGTGTAAAGTGTGCAGAGCTGTGCTGAAACGATGGTTTGAGAATGGCATCTCTTTGAAGAGAGGTTGAAGAGGCGCAGGATGTGGCCCTCAGTCTGGTCGTGCTTACTGTGCTGCGAGGAAAGCTGGGAAGATGCCGGTGTGTTGATGAAAGGGCATGCAGAGAAGGCGGCCTAGAGGAAGCGGGTCAGCCTGCAGAGTGGCGTGAAGGAAGGCTGGTCATACGGGCTACGGGAAAGACCCTAGGTTACAAATCTGTGTAGATTATAATGTTGAACTAAATCAGACTGACCGACTCAAACACTTACCACAGAGGATTATGAATTACAGAGTACACTGGGAGCAGTGGAATTGTCTAGAACAATTTCTTGCAAAAATTTGTGAAGGTATCACACACGGAGGTAAAAAGCTTGCAAATATAAGCCATGGTAAACCATGTGGCTCCGAGTGTGAGGAAGATGAAGAATTTCAGACCTCGGCATTCAGCGTAGGAGTCTTTTATACAGTGAAAATTGTTAAAGTGACTGAATTAAAAATGAAAATGTAAAGTTTGGCATTGGAATGCTGTCATATGGCTAATAAGATACATTTCTAGACATCCATAAAGGAGGATTTTGGTGAATCTGGTGAATGTGGCAGCTGAAGGAAAGCCAAACAGTGAATGTTCATGACAAGATAGCGGAAATATCTTTGATTTTTTTGAACGGAAGAAGATAGATGATACCTACCTAACCCAAAAGGATGGTAGAAAGGGAAAAGAAGAAAAACTAACTATATGATACCGGGTTGCTTCAAGTTAGACCCATTTCTTCTTGATGCCTACAGTTTGTCTAGCCCAGTTTGCTTTCATTCTTAAATAAGCACATTTTTATGAACAAATAAGAGAGACAAGAACTCTGCCCTCATCTGCCCACAGTGTGCTCTCTCTGGCCACAATGGAAATTTGTTGACATGCAGCACAATAATCTGTGACTTCGATTTGATAATTAAAAGAATGTAAGAATTGAAGATTCCTCAGTCAGCTAGCCAAATACGCCTCTCTTTAGTCTACAGTTTCACCTGGGCAGAACATTTGTAAAGAAAAGGTGAGAAAATACTTGTTAGGAGATGAAAAATAACTTGTTTTTTCCCTGGTTTTGACCGCTTTATGTGTTCATCTCTAGTTTATTAATAACACGGTTTTGTTGATAGTGTTAAAATGCATTTATAGAATCATAGAATCATAGAATAATTTGGGTTGGAAGGGACCTCTAAAGGTCATCTAGTCCAACCCCCCTGCCGTGGGCAGGGACATCTTCAACTAGATCAGGTTGCTCCGAGCCCCGTCCAACCTGACCTGGAATGTTTCCAGGGATGGGGCATCCACCACCTCTCTGGGCAACCTGTGCCAGTGCTTCACCACCCTATTTAATGTTGATAATGTTAAAATAAATTTAAATTTGTGCAGCTTATTGAAATATTTATTATGGTGTTCAAGTACGTTTACTGATACGCATTTTCCATGCTGATAGTTCTGAATCATTGCACGTGTTTTCAAAGCTGGCAGTGTATTATTTACTTTGTTTTATGTGGTTTTTTTTTTACTTTGCTGTTTGCCTAATTTCCATGTTGTGTTTCCATGATAGTGAAAGACTCTTCCTGTGTACACTTTCTAAGATACTGTATGACATAAGTAGTTTTACTGATTTAATAGGATTGTTTATACTGCATCGTACTAACCAGGGGGCTCTAAATAGTTGGCTCTTATCCAACTGTTTTAATTAGCAACAGTTTCATAAGCTTTGTAATGAGGACACATACTCATTGGAAAGTAGGTTGAGACAATGACGCTCATTTTTACGTTGGACATTTGCAGGTATTAGATGGCAGTAGCTCAGCTGGTCTGAATTTATTCAGCAGCACAGAAGTGAAGAATTCTTTGCCATATTATCAGGCTTCAGTGTTATATTTTTAAATTCAGCTTTAAAGTGACCTAAAATCAGGGTGAGATTTTATTGTGGATACTTATTTTTCCTATGCCCATGTGGAGTTCACACTGACACTGGTGGAAGTTCGAGTAGTTTATGAACAAAAGAGTAAGCTCTTTACATTTGAAGAGATGGAATTTGTGAATAATGCAAAAGATATATATGTACTGTAAGGGGAGAAAACGTAGTTAAAACCAGGATGCACACTTGAACGAGGTCTAGAGTAGCAGCAATTCTTAACGCAGCTAATGAAATCAGTGTCAGGAAGTCCCACAGGAAGAAAATAG